CAGCCGCAAGCGGCCTCTGGAGCCTGGGGGATGCTGGGCCTCTCCTGCTGAGCCACCTCCGAGTTCCCTGTAACCCAACCCCTCCCTACTGCTTGTGGAAACTGAGCCCGGTGCCACCGACACTGACACCCAGTTGCGGGTAACGTGCTCACACCTGCTTGGGCTTGCTGCTGGGCCGAGGGGTCCTCGGAGACCCCTTGCCTTACAGATGGGGACCCTGAGGCCCAGTCTGGGCTTGTTAACTGTCTCAGTCCATCACAAGCTCCTCCCCTTTCCCACATCAGCCGACACGGTAACGGTCTCTCTCCATCCCTACACCCCCACATCCACCCACCAGGCTTGGGGGACCCCGGTGAGCTCTGTCCTGTGTCTGGCTTGTAGACCATATGGACCCCTGAAACCACAGTTCCCTCTGGGAGCCCTTCCCCCCACGCCCGCTGAGCTGCCACTCCCTGCAGCTGTGACCCTGGCCCTTGGGTGGTCTCGGCCTGTGGGTGGCCCTGCGCTCCTACTGCCGCCATCTCGCCAGCACACCTGAGTGACCTACTGAGCCATGACTTGCCAGAGCTGCTCACTGAAGAGCAGGCCCAACTTACCGTTAATTTGGTCCTGGGAAAAGTACTTGGCCTGCAGTGGAGAGAGGAGGAGTCAGGGGGCTCCACGCAAGGCCGTGCAGCCCACCAGGGGACAGAGACCCCTACCCACCATCCTGCCGCCGGCTGCCGCCCGTGGGTGCGCTGCTTCCGGCCCCTTCTTCTTCCAGTCCCTCCGGCTTCAAGTCGAAAGTCCACCAGGGCGAGGCCCTGGTAATAAGGGCGCAGCTGCCATGGAGACGGGGCTCAACGCCAAGGGTCAGATTCCAGACTCCCCGCCCAGGCAGGCTAGTATTGAGAGGGCTCCCCTGGGACTGGGGTCCCTGTGACCCGAGGCCACAGCAAAGGGACGGTCGCTGATGTTCCTTCTGTGAGCCCCAGATCCGAGAGAGGGTCAGGGAAACTCAAAAAGGGGGCCCTGGTTTCCCACCTGGGACTCTGCTGGGAGCCCACAGACTCCTCCCAGAACCGGGCAGCCACACCCTGCCTTGCTGCGGGAAGGGGACTGGAGCTGTTGCAGGAGCCTCAGTGCCCTCGGCCTGGCCTGGATTCCATCCTGTCCCTCCTGCTGATTTGCTGAGTGACTGTGGAGTCCGTGTCTCTCTCTGCCTCCATTTTCTCACTGGCTGAATGGTAGGATGGCTGGGAGAACTGCCTAGCCAGTTCTCAGCAGCTGCCAGCCCTCCTCCTTCTGTGAGGGCTCCAGGTGGGGTGGGGGACTACTGGGTTCCCAGGCCTCTCTCCCTCCCACCACGGGCTCCCCAGGGGCCGGGGCCACAGCCTCCCCCACCGGGAAGGCGCTCCCTTTTCTTCCCACCTTCCCTGCTCCTTCCACAGAAGCTGCCACCACCCCAGGATCCCCAGTGGTTCCTGGGCTCCCCTCCCCCACCAAGGAAGTAGGGCAAGTGGGCAGTCCCCAGAGCCCCTGCAGGCACCCTGGCTCTCCCAGGAGATCCTGACTCCCTGCCGTGGTGCTGGAGGCTTGTGGCACGGCTGGTCTGCCTGCAAGCCTGGCCCACATGTCGGGGCCGGCAGGGGTGACCGCACCAGGGCAGTGCACGAGGCCCAGCCAGCACCCATTGCCCAGGGGAAAGGAACCTGACATACCTGGAGCCAGGTCCATGCACGGGCCGCCCCTACCCACCACCCTCCCTTCCTGACCCCTTCACGGACAGAACTCCCGCCCCACTGTGTCTCCCAGCTGCTTCCCACTGGGCTGATGGGGAGGGGAGGATGGGGGTGGGGGGGACTGGCCAAGCAGCCTCAGGAAAGTCAGTCAGGGCTTGGGAGGCAGGCCAAAGTCACCCTGTTTTCCCTTACTTATTTTTGTAGAGAGGGGGTCTCACCATTGCCCAGGCTAGTCTTGAACTCCTGGGCTCGTGATCCTCCCTTCTTGGTGTCCCAAAGTGCTGGATGACAGGTGTGAGCCACCGTTCCTGGTCTACACCTCTGTTGTTTTAAGCTGCCAATTTTGTGGCATTGTTCCAGCCACCCAAGCACACGGACACAGGTGCATGGCAGAGATGGTGGTGGGAAGGAAGCTGGCTCAGTGCAGACCCAGGACGTCTGGTGGTGTCCCAAGGGAGGCTGGGCCTACAGACCCAGGCCACAGCTGGGGCAGCAGGGCCCAGTGTGCTGGTTCCTACATCCCAGCCGTCAGGATTACCCACTGGGCCCAGGTTACAGTTTCCGATGGGGGGAAGTGAAGAAGGTGCCTTCTCTTCTGCCATTCCGAGGCCGCCCCTGGGGACCTCTAGCCCGCAGCCCTCAGGAGAGTGAGGCCCTTCTGAGCGAGCATGTCAGGGGAGCTGCCCCATGGGGCCTCTGGGCTCCCAGAGCCTGTGGCTTCTAAGTGTTCACTTTCATGCCTTTAATTCACTTTTTTTCATAGGGCCCCAAATGGTGTAAGCTTCAGCCCCTCCTTACCACATGAGATTATAATAAAACATCCACCAGATCGCCTCAGGCACAGAGGAGGTGAACTTGGGGGACAGGGGATATGCAGCAAGGGGACAGGATGCAGGGCTGCCCTTCCTGTCTGTGGCCTCTGGGGACCAGGTGGAGAGGCTGACCCCACGAGGTCAAGCGACCTATCCAAGGCCAAGGACCTCCCTCCCACCTCCCCAAAGGCGCCTCTGCCCCGGCCTCGGGTACTTCGCAGGGCCAGAGTTGCCCTGGCCTGGTTCTTCTATCAGGAGGCCCAATTTGCCCACCCCTGGGGCACCCACTCAGTGCGCGGAGGGTGGCAGAGGCTTGTGCTTGGTGAGATAGAGCTTGCGGGGCTCTCGAAGTCTGGCCAAGGGCTCTGGGGGAGCTACCAGCTCCTGCCCAGCCTAAGAGCGGCAGGTTCCAGCCCAGGGGATGCCCTCCCTCCTCCTCGGTTCACATCCCAAGCAGGAAGCAGCCACAGCCAGGCTTAGCCACACGCCTTTATTCACACCGTGACACCCAGGGCTGCCGCCCTCAGGCTGGGGACCCAGGGGGTATGGGGGACCCAACACGACAGGAGAGGCTGAGGCTCAGGGCTCCCTGAGACTGTGGTGGGAAGGCGGGCCACGGGGAGGCTGGTAGCCTGGAGACCCACAGCACACGGCGGCCAGCCCTGGCCGGGAAATGTGGCCACGGGGCTCCTGTGGTGGGAACCCGACCCTGGCCTGGGGAAGGCGGCGGGCAGCAGCACGCTGAGAAAGGGCCCTGACCATGGGGGCAGCGCCAGAAGCAAGTCAGAGGCTCAGGCCAAGGCAAGGCTGACGGAGGCTTCCCAGTGGCAGGGGTCAGAGACGGGGCCAGGGTGTGGCCATCTGCCTTCAGTGACAACTCAAAACCAAGTCAGGCCACCAGGAAGTAAGAGTCATGACCCCTCCAGAATGGAGGCTGGAGCAGCTTCTGCAGAGGGAGGGGTGGCTGGGCTAGCACAGCGGGCTGGGTTGATGAGTTAGGGGCTCAGCTGGACCCCAACCAGGGTCAGGTGGGCTGAGGCATGGGAGGGTTTGGGGCCACACACCCCCCGGGCCAGGAGTGGCAGCCTTAGGACCAAATAGGCTGCCCCAGAGCCAGTGGCCCTGCCCACTCACCCCCTTGGGGCCACAAGCCCATCTAGGAGGCCAAGAGAACCATGGCAGGAGTGGTGGGTGATGTGCCAGCCCCTCCCAGCTTCTGCCCACTCAGGATCCTCCCACGTGGCTACTAGAACATTCCAGAGGCAGAGCGGCCCTGAGTGGTGACAGCGTGGTCAGGGCCCAGATCGGCATGCACCCAGGAGGGCAGGCAGGTCCTGGTCTGGACATGGTCCCTACAGCTAATGCCATTCCAAGGAGACTCAAACCAGAGACCCGACCAAACAATCACAACAGCCACATGCACTCACATCACGTGTGTGCACCGATCCACGTGCAGGGGGCATGACCCCATCTGTCCACACACACGTGTCCATACACACCCACACGTTTATACACACCCACCTGTCTCCACACACCTGGCCACACACACACACACGTCCACACGCACCCACATGTGTCCACCCACCCATGCCCACCTCCCACCCCGAGTGCCGAGTTGGGCCAGGGCCTCAGCGCTGACTGCTGACATGGAGCGTGTAGAAGGCCCAGGGCTCGGGGACGTAGATGACGCCCGGGTACTTCCTCCTGAGCACAGGGTCATCCCACAGCCAGGCCACCCAAAGCGCCACCAGCAGGAGGGCCAGCGCGAAGGAGGCTAGGAGGAAGAGGCCGTTGCTGTCCAGGAAGAGGCGCTTGCGCTGCTGGTGCAAGACCAGGGCCAGCATGGCGAAGACAGTGAAGATGAAGAGCAGGAAGATCTGGCCCTCGGTGACCAGGTACCTGTGGTGGGAGGCATGATGAGGTGGTGGGGCGGCCTCCCGTCCCAGCCTCCCTTCCCGGCCTCCCTGCCCTGCCAACAGGCCGCCCTGCCACCAGTCTGAGCCGCTCCCTCGGCCACCCAGTCGCGGCCCATGGGCAGCATGTGGATTAGGCGTGTATGGTCACTGTTTTCAATGTGTTGAGTTTGTTGCCAGCAGTTCCAGAATGGAACATATGAAAGGTTGACTTCAGGCTCAGCTGGTTCCACAAGACAAAACTGACGGGAAAGCACCAGAGGGTGTTTCCAGTGTGCCACAGTCCCCACCACTTGCTGTTGCCTCACTCAGAGCCTGGGACACAGCTGCCGGGGATGGAGGCTGTCATGGTGGCCTCCCTGATGACTGCGACACATCCTTAGCCTCCCAGGGGCCCTGCAGTGCCTCACCACCGCCAGGTGCTAGGCGACACTTGCAGGAGCCTTCTGAAGGTGGCCTGGACCACCTGCCTCCAGGGGCACCAGAGAGCTGACCGTGACCCAGTGACATGCAGCCCTGCCTCTGTGCAGCAGGGACCCAGGGAACTTATATGAACTTGGGGTATGTCCTGCTTTCTCACATGTGAAGGGGGCACATGAGGCCAAGCTCTCAAGGTCCTGACGAGACCTGTGACCATTCCCTGTGAGGAGAGCACACTGTCCGCCAAGTGGCTGTAGCCTCTGCGGTCACCCCACCATGGTGAAAACCAGCAGGACATTCTCCTGTCTAACCTCCTTCCCTCCTGCTGTAGTTGTGCCCCCCACTTCTGTCCTCTAAGCACACAGGTCAGCAATCCAGCCTGGTGGATCCTCTCTGCCCACGGGGATGAGGGAGGGGCCAGGAGGCGGCTTGAGCTGGCCAGGAGGCAGGCCCATGGCATCAACCCAGAGACTCCCCATGGGAGAAGGGCTGGGCTGCCCCCACCCCTCCATGGCTCCCATAGTCGCTGGGCTGCCTGTCCCCAGGGCAGCAGTGACAAAGCAGGGTCAGGGCCAGCTAAGGCCTGGGTCTACACAATGGGAAGAGCGCACCCAAGGGAACCCCATCTGGCTGCCACCGCTGGGGCTCTGCACCTCACGAGGTCCCCCTTCCCGCAGGATTGCGTCTCCTGAGAGGAACACATCACTGTCCCCATTCAGAGGAGGGAGCTGGACTCTGCTGGCCCCGGGCTCTAGTAGGCAGACACAGAGGGGCCGGGGCACGAGGACAAGCCAGAGCTACCTCACTCTGTCTCCTGCCCCCCTACCACACTGAGGCCTGTCATGGCCCTGCTGGATGTGGGGAAGCAGTGGCTCTAAGGGGCCAGTCCCTCCTGAGCCACACGGCGGGCACGTGGCCGGGGTGGGCCTTTACTGCTGTGGCTCACAAATGCCCCGCCCTCTCCCGGTGCCACGTCCACTCACCAGTAGTACAGGCCACTGGGAGCCACCAGGAGCAGGGCAGGCCCTGGCATCCGGCTCTCAGCCTTCACAGCCGTGAAACAGCCGCTGAAGTACAGGAAGAGGATGAGGAAAAACGGGATGTACCTGCAAGGGAGGCCCGTCTCAGAGACCGCTAGGCCTCTTCTACCTGGCACCCTAGCCCATCCTCATGGTCCCCTAAAGTGCCATGTCGTGGTCTACAAGTCACAGGCTTGGGTGAGGGGCTCCTCTCCACCCTGCCTGTGCTGAGCTGGATGTCAAGGGTGGGATGGGGCCAGGAAGTTGGATGCAGATGCGGGGGCCATTGGGCAGGCTGATATCTGAGGTCAGGTTAAACAAAGGGCATCCGCCGGCTTCCCAGGAGTGTGGGGCTCATCCCAAAAGCCCACCCTCTCCCTCTCTCCCACCTGCACTGCCAGCCCCCTCCAGTGCCTCCAGTCCTCTGCTGCTTCCTCCTCCCCAGCCCCCGGCCTCCCACGGACGGCTCTTCTGCCCACAGCCAGAGACAGCAGTTGAGCCAGGAGGACCAACTTTCCCTGCCCCGAACAGACCCTTGAATGCCCGAGCTAGGGTGTGCATGAGTGCTGGCTCTCTTGGGAGTCGCCATCCAGGCCCGGCCTCCCAGTGTGCGCCCCGAGGTCCTGATCGCTGGGACAACAGCACCCTGCCCCCACCCCACCAGCCCTTCCCAGCTTCCCCCACTCCCAAAGAGCCGGTCTGCCGCCATGGGGTCTCCTCTTAGGCGCCCCATATCACCACGGGGGTGTTTGTCAGGGCTGCGTCCTCCCCGCTCCTGGCTCCAGGCTTGGCCAGGGAGGGACAGCAGCCTCTTGCTGCCCTCTGGTGGCCACCATGGGCACTGCAGGCTGGAAGGGGGTCGGGGAGCGAGGCCCACAGGTGCCCAGGGGAAGAGAAGGCACCGCTGCAGTCCAGCAGCTGCACACGGCACACGGAGACCTGGGTCCAGAGCGTCGCCCAGGGTGTCCCGAGCCAGGGAGGGCGGGGCCATGACTGTCACGCCGCACGTGTGTGGCCTGGCACCCAGCACTCACCACATGCAGTGGCCCAGGTACTCGTCATAGTAGTAGAGCAGCTCGAAGGAGTCGATCTGAGGATGCAGGGCAGGGCGAGGCAGGTCAGAGGCCGCCGTCCTCCCACCTGGGTCTCCCCCAGCAGCCCCAAACCCCCAGGGCCTTGTCCTGGGAGGGGGCCCAGGCGACATGCCACCCCCAGCCCACGGACGTCCCACCAGGGGGGGGCGCTGCTAGAGGCAGAAGCGCGGGGCGGCTGGGCAATCTCTCCAGTCTCCAGGACAGACCGGCCAGTGGGGCCTCACCAGTGTCTCGGGCTGGAGGTTCTTGATGATGGGGTTCTCACGCACGGACAGGTGGTGCTGGTACCCGCTGAACAGCAGGCGGTGGTTGACGGAGTCGCCCACCAGGTGGATGCTGGCACCCATGATGAAGGTGATGATGCTGACGTAGGTGAGGGAGCGTGGCAGCGTGCGGGGAGACCGCTCCACGAGCTGCGGGTCAGAGTAGACCACCGCATGGCCCACTAAGTGGCGGGTCCCCTTAGTGGCCGGCCCGGCCTTGAGGTTCACATGGCCCCTGCGAGCCAGCGGGACCGAGGGACAGCACACCCTTCTGCCAGGGAGGAAACAGGCAGAGGGCCACACGCCAGAGCTGAGGCCAGGCCTTCCACAGAGTCCAGGCTTCAGGTCCGCCCCACCCATGCCCCCACTGGGCCCCAGGGGGCTGGGCCGGCGGCAGAGACCCTGGGACTTCTGAATGAGAGCCCACAGCAATCTTGAAGGAATGTCAGGTGGGGTGGGCACCCTGGGAAAGGTGGCATTCCGGGGCTGCCCCAACTCTGGGACCAGAAAGGCCTTTCTCCCAGGTGACAGAGGCAGTGCACAGTGACCAGGCTGAGCAGCCTCCTGCCGAGACGCTCAGGACCGGACATGTCTGGGGGTTCAGATTCGGGGGTATTTGCATAGACATAGTAGGCTATCTTGGGGACCCAATTCTACACGCGCATTCACTGACTTTCATATGCCCTGACACTCACGGCCTGGAGGTAACTTCACGCTCTGTTTTCAATAACTGCATGAACCAGAGTTTGTGTTAAGGACTCATATAGAATTTCCCACGTGTGGTGTCACGAGGATGCCCAGAGTTTCAGATTTCTGGGTATTTCCAATTTCAGGTTTTTGAATTGGGGGTGCTCAACCTGCAGTCGTCTTAAAGCCCTGATCTGGCAAAGTGTGAACCGGAAGCCCCCATCCTGCTCCCAGCGATTTCTCAGAGCCAGGGATCCCCAGACCAGAGAACAGAGTCCAGGAGGCCAGAGACCAGAGAACGGAGGCCAGGCCAGCCCCCGCCGCCCCTCTCCCACCACCCAGTTTGCCAGCCTCCCTGCGGGACCTGTCCTCCCCCCGATCTCCCACTCACTTCTTCCGCCTCAGCCTCCCCAGTACCTCACAGCTTCCCACAGCCTTGTCTACCGGTCCTTCTGCCCAGACATGTCTCCCTCCCACACCACCCACTGGCCCGCCCCTCCCTGAGGCTTCTCTGTCCCTGCCGGCTAGAGGCCACTCCGCCTCCCCCC